CACCATGGGTTAAACACAAAGGACTCGAATTCTACACCACGAGGCTGTACCCTGCAAGCATGACTCGCCTAGAACTCATCCAACATCTCCAAGACAACACTGTATCGTACCAAAGCGAAGAAAGACCATTCCCTACCTACAACCAGATACTCCACCAACTCCAAACCAACGAATACTACTACAGCTCTCCCATAAGTGTGATACAACTCTCTCGAAAACAATTTACCGCACTGATAAACGGCTTAAGACCATAACCAACTCATCCTGCTTGCTGCCTTCTGACGCTCCCAGCTCCTACCGCTGCCTTCGCCATCCTCTCCTAGTGAGCCAAGCAATGACATCAGTCAAGCCTCTCTATCTACGTCTCCAGTACTTTTGTACCACATGTCCCAAAGTGGTTGGGCCACTTGCCTTGATTCCTCCTCTTCCCCTCCTCCCCATCCTTTTCCAGTTATTTCCATCCTTCTTTATCCTTCTTCCTTCCCATCTTACGACAGCTCTCGTCGTCCTCGATTTGATTCGATTCGACTTCTGGTAGTTGTCCTGTTTCGAGAAATGTGTTGAAGATAGTTGTTAGTGGCACACAAAGCACCTCTGCTCCCTCTCTCAGGGCACATGGATAGGGGTTATCTGGTCTTATCACGTTTGAGGTATCTAGCTCGTTTAACAGCCTCTTCACTTCTTCCTCGGTTGTATGTATTGTGTCCAACACTTGATGGTGTACCCCACCTCTCTGCCTATCTGGAGTCCCTTCTGTCTCCTCTGTGAACACTTCTCTGAATCTCATGTTGAGCTCCTCACGTACTTTGTGGTCTTTTTTGTGACTTCCCCTCCTGTCGTCAGTCTGATTGCCTGGTCCTTGTCTGTTGTTTTGCTCCTGATGTGGCTGTACAACAGCTTTGGGTCAGACTTGGCTTTCGCTGCTATCATTCTCATATTGCCTTTGGGCCTCCCGTGTTACCTGTGCATATTCATTTCTGGCTCTACGACTGGTCTCCTTATTCTCCTGGGTCCTTTGCCTTCTATACTTCTTCCATTCCCTAGCACATTTGGTTTTGGCCTCCCTGCACCTTTGGGTGAACCACGGGCTCATCCTGGCTTTCTCATTATTCCTGTTGCCCTTGGGTACAAACCTTTCTTCAGCTTCCTTGCATATTGTTGTCACATATTCCATCATCTTGTCCACTGGCTTCCCTGCCAGTTCTCTGTCCCACTGAACCCTTTCTTGTAGTTTGGCTTCACTCATCCGGCCCTTCCTACTTCTCCCTCCACTTGTAACTCTAGTATATATTCAAAGCATGAAACGACATGATCACTGGCCCCCAGGGGCCTTTCACATGCAATGTCCTCAATATCTGCACTATTCGAGGTAAATACTAGGTCCAGTCTCACTGGTTCATCCTCTCCTCTCTCTCTGATAGCATCACTTACATGTTGGTACATGAGGTTTTCCAGTACCACTTCCATGATTTTAGCCCTCCACATTTCTTGGCTCCCATGTGGCTCCAAGTTTTCCCAATCGATTCCTTGTGGTTGAAGTCGCCCATGATCAGTAGCTTTGCCCTGCTCGCATGAGCCCTTCTTGCCACTTCAGCCAGTGAGTCAACCTTCGCTCTATTACTCTCATCATACTCTTGCCTTGGCCTCCTGCTGTTCTGTGGTGAGTTATACATCATTGCAATCACCACCTTGGGACCTCCAGACTGAAGCGTTAGTACTATGTAATCTCTTGCTTCTCCTCTGACTCCTCTCTCCAGCTCATGAAAATCCCATCGGTTTTTGATCAACAGTGCCACTCCTCAACCCCCTCTGTTCCCTCTGTTTTTTTCTCAGGATCTGATATCCCACTGGAAAGATGGCATCTGTTATCATCCCTGTGAGATTGGTTTCTGTGAGAGCTATGATGTCCAGTGATGCCTCTTTGACTCTTTCATACCACTCCTCGCACTTATTTGTTATTCCATCAGTGTTGGTGTACCATACCTTCAGTTTGCTCTGTGAGGGTGGGGGACCTACAGTGTACTGCGGGGTTCTACAGCATAGTGTGGGGTGGAGGCTGTGACTGTGGATTGTAGTCTGTGCTGGGACACTTTTTTGTTGTGGGGTTCTGGGGTGGGTCTGTGTGTGCTTTTGCTTGTTTCTCTGCCCTGCTCTGGTTGTCCTCTGCTGATTCTGCCCTTGTCTCTCCTCCTAGCTGCTTTTGCTTTTGTGTCCTCTTCCTCAGCTGCTTTTGTTCTTTTTTTGTTCTGTGTCGTTCTAGGAGCACCCTCTTGTATTCTGCCGAGTTTCTCTTGGAGGATCCTGTTTTGCATTGTTTCTGTCCTGAAAAATCTGCTAGACTGGTCGTTTTCTTCTCTTCAAGTACCTCCCTATTCTCTGAAAATTTACAATCTCAGACATTTCCTCTTCTCCTATTTATATGATGATGTTCTTAATTTCCTGTCTTTCTGCCTGTCGTCTTTCGGTGTGTGTTCTTCCCTCACTCTCCTGAAGTGTATGTGTGTGTGTGTGTGTGTGTATGTGTGTGTGTGTATGTGTGTGTGTGTATGTGTGTGTGTGTATGTGTGTGTGTGTATGTGTGTGTGTCTGTGTGTGCTTCACACGAGGTCATCCACCGAGGCAGAGTGACCAGAAAAAGAAACACTTTCACCTTTATTCACACTGTGACTGTCTTGTAAGAGGCGTCCAGATGCGACAGTTTAAATGTCCCTCTATACAGCATATATCCAAAACTCTTTTTTTTGGAGTGCGGGTACAGTACTTTCCACCTCCAGGACTCATCTGTCTTATCAGGTTCCCTGAATCCAGTCAAAAATATTTCCCTCCTCACACTTCAACAGATCATCAAATTCGTAAAACCATTTGTCTCCACTCACTCCTATCTATCATGCTTACACATGCTTGCTGTATGTCCAAGCCCCCTGCACACAAAACATCCTATACATCTTTCCTCCATCCTTTTCTTGGATAGCTCCCTTGCACCACCGTCTTTCCACTACTGATTTATATAACCTCCAAGTCATCTTATTTTGTTCCATCTTCTCTAGATGACCAATTCACAACAACAACCACTCCTCAGCTCTCTTGATAATTCTTTTAGTAACTTTACAACTTCTCCTAATCTCCTAAGTCCGAATTCTCTGCATAATATTTGTGATACATATTGCCATCAGATATTTTCACTTCCTCAAGGCTCCTCCTTGCTGCAACATTTGCAACCTTTGCTTCACACCTAAATAAAAGTGTTGGTACTGCTATATTTTCATGCAGCCCTTTTTACCTCCATGGATAATGTTGTTTGTCTCTCCAGATACCTCATTGCACCACCCACCTGTTTCCCTTCATCACTTCTACGGTCTAACTCGTCTTTCATATAACGATCCGCAGACACACCCACTCCCAAATATCTGAACACACTTACTTCTTCCATTCTCTCTCCCTCCAATCTCATAACCACTTTTTCCTCACCTAACTTGTTTGATTCATCACTTTATTCTCATCAATATTCGCTTTCAACTTCCTTTACACACTCACCCAAACTCGTCCACTAAAGAACTGTATCATTCAGCGTAAAGTAACGCTGTCAACACCCTTTTTATATCTGATTCTATATATTTTTATTTTTTTTATCACACTGGCCTATTCCCACCAAGGCAGGGTGGCCCGAAAAAGAAAAACTTTCACCATCATTCACTTCATCACTGTCTTGCCAGAAGGGTGCTTTATACTACAGTTTTTAAACTGCAACATTAACACCCCTCCTTCAGAGTGCAGGCACTGTACTTCCCATCTCCAGGACTCAAGTCCGGCCTGCCGGTTTCCCTGAACCCCTTCATAAATGTCACTTTGCTCACACTCCAACAGCACGTCAAGTATTAAAAACCATTTTTCTCCATTCACTCCTATCAAACACGCTCACGCATGCCTGCTGGAAGTCCAAGCGCCTCGCACACAAAACCTCTTTTACCCCCTCCTTCCAACCTTTCCTAGGCCGAACCCTACCCCGCCTTCCTTCCACTACAGACTGATGCACTCTTGAAGTCATTCTGTTTCGCTCCATTCTCTCTACATGTCCGAACCACATCAACAACCCTTCCTCAGCGCTCTGGACAACAGTTTTGGTAATCCCGCACCTCCTCCTAACTTCCAAACTACGAATTCTCTGCATTATATTCACACCACACATTGCCCTCAGACATGACATCTCCACTGCCTCCAGCCTTCTCCTCGCTGCAACATTCACCACCCATGCTTCACACCCATATAAGAGCGTTGGTAAAACTATACTCTCATACATTCCCCTCTTTGCCTCCAAGGACAAAGTTCTTTGTCTCCACAGACTCCTAAGTGCACCACTCACTCTTTTCCCCTCATCAATTCTATGATTCACCTCAACTTTCATAGACCCATTCTATATATATATATATATATATATATATATATATATATATATATATATATATATATATATATATATATATATATATATATATATATATATATATATATTAATCTCACCCCTCCCCCATCTATAAATATGTTAAACAACCATATTGTCATTATGTATCCCTGTCTAAGACCTACTTTCACTAGACAGTAATCACCCTGTCTCTTCCACTCACTAACCTGAGACTTTGTAACCTCATAAAACTCTTTATAGTGTTTATTAATTTACTTCCTATTCCTTATTTCTGAAATCTCTCTGGACTTCACAAAATTTCATGAAGATTGCGTTAATTAAGTAACATACCGTTAACAAAATTCTATCATTATATATGGCAGACAAGCTCATTCTACATTTGTTAATACAAATTTTTATAATTCATGTTCCATTCCTTTTTTTTTCAAGTTTACAGCTTGCTCACATTTTGTTTTGTCAAAATTATCGTAAATTATTTTCATTTTAAATACATAGAATACATTTTATTTGGCACAAATATAGTATATTATTTGTATTTTAAATATGTCGGCAAAATTAACATTTCAATGAATTCTTTCAGTGGTGAGAAAATGGCAGCTCAGTCTTTGTCGTATACCACACTGTACACTGCAGGGATGCACTTCAGGTATTCTCTCCGAGTAGCTCCCAGCAGCGCAAGTCTGCAAGTGTTTCTTTTGTTTCTGTGGTTTTATATCACCATCATCACCACAGGTTATTGTTCCAACCTCACAGCTTTCCTCACGGTGGATCGATCTCCTCCTGGAATTAATTCTATAAAGGAACTGTACCACTCATCGCTCTCTGTCTTTGGTCTCGGATCATTTTTTGGTTACTCTATGGCTGAGTCTACCAATGAGGACCTCAGGGTAATTTAATCTTTATTTTTTTTCAGATTAAGTGTATTTAGTCATGATCCTCAGTATACAGTGAATGGTATAAAATAACACAGAAATATCTTCCGATTCAGTCAAAAATTAATCTCACAAACGCTTGCTACTGCTTTAATATACTGACTGATATTTTTGTGTGTTCTCTCACTTAACCCTAAAATGATTCTTGTATCTTAAATGTATCAGAAGGTAATTTGAAACACTCAAGCTTCTAAATCATCATAGACAGTTTAATAAAGCCAAATTAGAGAGAAAAAATATATTGTAATAAGTAAGTTCAGGTATATAATCTACTGAGCGTAACAGTTATGTTAGAACAGACGACGTTTTTCAAGACTGATAAGTAATTTTGTGATGAAATGTCAAGAAATTAATTGTTTATATTACTGTGTTCAGAGTGAAATTATTTGATATTTGCTGGAAATACTAAGTAAAACTTGATTATATTTACCTCACAGACTGATCTAATGTGTTTTCGGGTTCCTTCTGAGTGCTGTGTCTAACATTACTCTCCTTGAAGAGCATTCACCACATCTCAAACCTTTATTTTCAATGATAATGACCTTAATAAGGGTAAAGAGTTATGTTCAAAGTATTAATGAATATTACTTAGCGAGTGGAATGTGTAAGGATTTAGAGGAGAGGAGCATTTCCAGCGAATTGTTTGTTTAACAGCACACGATTACCATGCAAGATGTTAACCAAATGGAAGTTCAGTTGCACATTGCAAAAGCCGCCCAGGCGCCGGGACTCATGTACCAGGGGATTTATGTACGGAAGTGATCTTAACACAAGTTTCTGTGAAATTCTTCCAGTTAGGCTTGAAGGAGATGCTCCATATTAAGTCTTTTACCATCCTACGAAGTGGCTAACGCGTTGGTCAGGAGTTTTATGACTGATCGCAGGTTCTAACCCCACACCTGATATGGTTTGTTTCCTACGAATTCTTGGAAGTGACTCAGAATCTTCATTTTTCCCTGGTTTCTTTGCCCTAAATGTAATTTTCTTGAACAAGAAAATCACATTTAGGGCAAAGATAATTCATTAACTTTACTGGTAAATATATTGAGAATAATTTCGTCTTTCTGTTTACATACAGCACGTGACTGGCGATCACTAATATATATAATACCAACAAATTTAAGTGTCTGTATTTAAGCCAACTGTTAGTAGACTATTATCTACTGAGATCCCTGGTATTATTGTGCTGTAGAGATAGTTGGTTGTTTCAACTTAAATACATTACCTGGAGTTTACCTGGAGAGAGTTCCGGGGGTCAACACCCCCGCGGCCCGGTCTGTGACCAGGCCTCCTGGTGGATCAGAGCCTGATCAACCAGGCTGTTGCTGCTGGCTGCACGCAAACCAACGTACGAGCCACAGCCCGGCTGGTCAGGAACCGACTTTAGGTGCTTGTCCAGTGCCAGCTTGAAGACTGCCAGGGGTCTGTTGGTAATCCCCCTTATGTATGCTGGGAGGCAGTTGAACAGTCTCGGGCCCCTGACACTTATTGTATGGTCTCTTAACGTGCTGGTGACACCCCTGCTTTTCATTGGGGGGATGTTGCATCGTCTGCCAAGTCTTTTGCTTTCGTAGTGAGTGATTTTCGTGTGCAAGTTCGGTACTAGTCCCTCTAGGATTTTCCAGGTGTATATAATCATGTATCTCTCCCGCCTGCGTTCCAGGGAATACAGGTTCAGGAACCTCAAGCGCTCCCAGTAATTGAGGTGTTTTATCTCCGTTATGCGCGCCGTGAAAGTTCTCTGTACATTTTCTAGGTCGGCAATTTCACCTGCCTTGAAAGGTGCTGTTAGTGTGCAGCAATATTCCAGCCTAGATAGAACAAGTGACCTCATGGGCTTGGCCTCCCTAGTTTTGAAGGTTCTCATTATCCATCCTGTCATTTTTCTAGCAGATGCGATTGATACAATGTTATGGTCCTTGAAGGTGAGATCCTCCGACATGATCACTCCCAGGTCTTTGACGTTGGTGTTTCGCTCTACTTTGTGGCCAGAATTTGTTTTGTACTCTGATGAAGATTTAATTTCCTCGTGTTTACCAAATCTGAGTAATTGAAATTTCTCATCGTTGAACTTCATATTGTTTTCTGCAGCCCACTGAAAGATTGGGTTGATGTCCGCCTGGAGCCTTGCAGTGTCTGCAATGGAAGACACTGTCATGCAGATTCGGGTGTCATCTGCAAAGGAAGACACGGTGCTGTGGCTGACATCCTTGTCTATGTCGATATGAGGATGAGGAACAAGATGGGAGCGAGTACTGTGCCTTGTGGAACAGAGCTTTTCACCGTAGCTGCCTCGGACTTTACTCTGTTGACGACTACTCTCTGTGTTCTGTTAGTGAGGAAATTATAGATCCATCGACCGACTTTTCCTGTTATCCCTTTAGCACGCATTTTGTGCGCTATTAACGCCATGGTCACACTTGTCGAAGGCTTTTGCAAAGTCTGTATATATTACATCTGCATTCTTTTTATCTTCTAGTGCATTTAGGACCTTGTGACCCAATAGTTGAGACAGACAGGAGCGACCTGTTCTAAACCCATGTTGCCCTGGGTTGTGTAACTGATGGGTTTCTAGATGGGTGGTGATCTTGCTTCTTAGGACCCTTTCAAAGATTTTTATGATATGGGATGTTAGTGCTATCGGTCTGTAGTTCTTTGCTGTTGCTTTACTGCCCCCTTTGTGGAGTGGGGCTATGTCTGTTGTTTTTAGTAACTGTGGGACGACCCCCGTGTCCATGCTCCCTCTCCATAGGATGGAAAAGGCTCGTGATAGGGGCTTCTTGCAGTTCTTGATGAACACGGAGTTCCATGAGTCAGGCCCTGGGGCAGAGTGCATGGGCATGTCATTTATCGCCTGTTCGAAGTCATTTGGTGTCAGGATAACATCGGATAGGCTTGTGTTAACCAAATTTTGTGGCTCTCTCATAAAAAATTCGTTTTAATCTTCGACTCTCAGTCTGGTTAGCGGCTTGCTCAAAAGTGAGTCATATTGGGACTTGAGTAGCTCACTCATTTCCTTGCTGTCATCTGTGTAGGACCCATCTTGTTTAAGTAGGGGCCCAATACTGGATGTTGTTCTCGACTTTGATTTGGCATAGGAGAAGAAATACTTTGGGTTTCTTTCGATTTCATTTATGGCTTTTAGTTCTTCCCGCGATTCCTGACTCCTATAAGATTCCTTTAGCTTGAGTTCGATGCTTGCTATTTCTCTGACCAGTGTCTCCCTACGCATTTCAGATATATTGACCTCTTTTAGCCGCTCTGTTATTCTTTTCCGTCGCCTGTAAAGGGAGCGCCTGTCTCTATTTTACATCTACTCCTCCTTTTTCTTAGAGGAAAAGCCTTGTGCATACATCGAGTGCCACCGAGTTAATCTGTTTCTAGGCATAAGTTTGGGTCTGTGTTGCTTAGTATATCTTCCCAGCTTATATCGGTTAGGACTTGGTTTACTTGGGTCCCACTTTATGTTTTTGTTATTGAAGTTGAATTTGGTGAATGCTCCCTCGTGACTAGTCTCTTTTATGTCGGTCTGGGGCTCCACGCATACATGTCTGAACCTCAATTATGTTGTGATCTGAGTATATTGTTTTTGATATGGTGACATTTCTTATCAGATCATCATTGTTAGTGAAGATGAGGTCTAGTGTATTCTCCAGTCTAGTAGGCTCTATTATTTGCTGGTTTAAATTGAATTTTGTACAGAGATTTAAAAGCTCGTGTGAGTGTGAGTTTTCATCAGAGCTGCCTCCTGGTTTTATCACTGCAACAATATTATTTGCTATATTCCTCCATTTTATGTGCCTTAAGTTGAAATCCCCCAGGAGCAAGATGTTGGGTGCAGGAGCTGGAAGATTTTCCAGACAGTGGTCAATTTTTAACAGCTGTTCCTGGAATTGCTGGGATGTTGCATCTGGAGGCTTGTAGACTACCACAATGACTAGGTTTTGGTTCTCGACCTTTACTGCTAAAACTTCCACTACATCATTTGAGGCATTTAGCAGTTCTGTGCAAACAAGTGACTCTGCGATGTACAGGCCAACCCCTCCCCCCCTTTTGCCTGTTCACTCCTCAACCAGGTAATACGCTGATTACTCTTCTTGGGGCTAAGATAAGATAAGATTTCATTCGGATTTTTAACCCCGGAGGGTTAGCTACCCAGAATAACCCAAGAAAGTCCGTGTGTCATCGAGGACTGACTTCAGTCTTGCCGACCAGGATGCCACCCACACCAGACCACTAACACCCAGGATGCCACCCACACCAGTCCACTAACACCCAGTTACCTATTAGCTGCTAGGTGAACAAGACAACAGATGTAAGGAAACGTGTCAAAATGTTTCCATCCAGCCGGTAATCGATCCCTGGTCTTCCGTGTGTGAAGCGGGAGCTTCACACGGGGCCATCCAGACGTTTATCGCCGACTTTTTTTAGTCATGTCAGTCAGTAGAAAGATATAATTTATAGATTACACTGAGCTATTATTGGAAAAGAATTACACGGGGAAAACTATAATATCGTGAATATTACCTTAGTAATATATACTGTCACAGGAAAATATGTTTTTGTAAGTGATGACACTTACGATATCCTGAGGCGACTGACTAGATGTTTTTTTTTTTTTTTTATTCGCCGGTATTCTCCCGGCCCGGGTCTTTTCCAAGTAGTGGTGACCCGGCCTTGGCTCCCTATCTGGGGAGTATCTCGAGACTTAAGTCTCCCATGGGAGGAGGGACAAGTACCTCCTCATCTTTGGGACCAAGTGTCCCCAGGCCTAGCCACATTTCCCGCCCTCACGGGGCTCGTAGGGAGAAGCTAGGCCTCTGGTCTGCCATCTACCCCGCCTCGAAGGGGCTCGTGGGGATGGCAGTCTTATGAGCTACAGATGGTAGCAAGCTCAGGCCTCTTTCACATCTCACTTCTGTGATTTATATTTCACAGTAATATATAAATGTTTTTTTTTTATCTTTGGTAATAACCTAAAGAAAAAACTCCAAAAAAAGTGCATTAATCTCGGAAAAGGCTAGTTTTTCCATGTTTATTTCTGTCTTTACTTTTTTTATTTTCTTTTCAACAAGTTGGCCGTCTCCCACCGAGGCAGGGTGACCCACCGAGGCAGAGTGACCCACCGAGGCAGGGTGACCCACCGAGGCAGGGTGACCCACCGAGGCAGAGTGACCCACCGAGGCAGGGTGACCCACCGAGGCAGAGTGACCCACCGAGGCAGAGTGACCCACCGAGGCAGGGTGACCCACCGAGGCAGAGTGACCCACCGAGGCAGGGTGACCCACTGAGGCAGAGTGACCCACCGAGGCAGGGTGACCCACCGAGGCAGAGTGACCCACCGAGGTAGAGTGACCCACCGAGGCAGGGTGAGCCACCGAAGCAGGGTGACCCACCTAGGCAGGATGACCCACCGAGGCAGGGTGACCCACCGAGGCAGGATGACCCACCGAGGCAGAGTGACCCACAGAGGCAGGGTGACCCACCGAGGCAGAGTGACCCACCGAGGCAGGGTGACCCACCGAGGCAGAGTGACCCACCGAGGCAGGGTGACCCACCGAGGCAGGGTGACCCACCGAGGCAGAGTGACCCACCGAGGCAGGGTGACTCACCGAGGCAGAGTGACCCACCGAGGTAGAGTGACCCACCGAAGCAGGGTGAGCCACCGAAGCAGGGTGACCCACCGAGGCAGGGTGACCCACCGAGGCAGGGTGACCCACCGAGGCAGGGTGACCCACCGAGGCAGAGTGACCCACCGAGGCAGGGTGACCCACCGAGGCAGAGTGACCCACCGAGGCAGGGTGACCCACCGAGGCAGAGTGACCCACCGAGGCAGGGTGACCCACCGAGGCAGGGTGACCCACCGAGGCAGAGTGACCCACCGAGGCAGGGTGACCCACCGAGGCAGGGTGACCCACCGAGGCAGAGTGACCCACCGAGGCAGGGTGACCCACCGAGGCAGGGTGACCCACCTAGGCAGGGTGACCCACCGAAGCAGGGAGACCCACCGAGGCAGAGTGACCCACCGAGGCAGGGTGACCCACGGAGGCAGAGTGACCCACCGAGGCAGGGTGACCCACCGAGGCAGAGTGACCCACCGAGGCAGGGTGACCCACCGAGGCAGAGTGACCCACCGAGGCAAGGTGACCCACCGAGGCAGAGTGACCCACCGAGGCAGGGTGACCCACCGAGGCAGGGTGACCCACCTAGGCAGGATGACCCACCGAGGCAGGGTGACCCACCGAGGCAGGGTGACCCACCTAGGCAGAGTGACCCACCGAGGAAGGGTGACCCACCGAGGCAGAGTGACCCACCGAGGCAGGGTGACCCACCGAGGCAGAGTGACCCACCGAGGCAGGGTGACCCACCGAGGCAGAGTGACCCACCGAGGCAGGGTGACCCACCGAGGCAGAGTGACCCACCGAGGCAGAGTGACCCACCGAGGCAGGGTGACCCACCGAGGCAGGGTGAACCACCGAGGCAGGGTGACCCACCGAGGCAGAGTGACCCACCGAGGCAGAGTGACCCACCGAGGCAGGGTGACCCACCGAGGCAGGGTGACCCACCGAGGCAGAGTGACCCACCGAGGCAGGGTGACCCACCGAGGCAGAGTGACCCACCGAGGCAGAGTGACCCACCGAGGCAGGGTGACCCACCGAGGCAGGGTGACCCACCGAGGCAGGGTGACCCACCGAGGCATCGTGACCCACCGAGGCAGAGTGACCCACCGAGGCAGAGTGACCCACCGAGGCAGGGTGACCCACCGAGGCAGGGTGACCCACCGAGGCAGGGTGACCCACCGAGGCAGGGTGACCCACAGAGGCAGAGTGACCCACCGAGGCAGAGTGACCCACCGAGGCAGGGTGACCCACCGAGGCGAGGCAGGGTGACCCACCGAGGCAGGGTGACCCACCGAGGCAGAGTGACCCACCGAGGCAGAGTGACCCACCGAGGTAGGGTGACCCACCGAGGCAGGGTGACCCACCGAGGCAGGGTGACCCACCGAGGGAGAGTGACCCACCGAGGCAGGGTGACCCACCGAGGCAGAGTGACCCACCGAGGCAGGGTGACCCACTGAGGCAGGGTGACCCACCTAGGCAGTGTGACCCACCGAGGCAGAGTGACCCACCGAGGCAGGGTGACCCACCGAGGCAGGGTGACCCACCGAGGCAGGGTGACCCACCGAGGCAGGGTGACCCACCGAGGCAGGGTGAACCACCGAGGCAAGGTGACCCACCGAGGCAGGGTGACCCCCCGAGGCAAAGGGGACCCACCGAGGCAGGGTGACCCACCGAGGCAGGGTGACCCACCGAGGCAGGGTGACCCACCGAGGCAGAGTGACCCACCGAGGCAGAGTGACCCACCGAGGCAGAGTGACCCACCGAGGCAGAGTGACCCACCGAGGCAGAGTGACCCACCGAGGCAGAGTGACCCACCGAGGCAGGGTGACCCAAAAAAGAAAGAAAATCCCCAAAAAGAAAATACTTTCATCATCATTCAACACTTTCACCACACTCACACATTATCACTGTCTTTACAGAGTTGCTCAGATACCACAGTTCAGTTGTCTTTATAATTACATAAAACTGAAGGTAAATGATTGAAAAATCTGCCCGTATAATATTATATTTAACACATTATAAAACTGGTACCACCATTTATATTTCTAAACATTTATTACCAAACATTTATATTACCAAACATTTATAATACTAAACCACTTTCCTTCAGGGTTTGTCTAAACGATTCATATCAATGAGAAGTTTCGAGGACATCAGTCATGAGGTACTGATGGGTAAAGGTGTGATGATACAGACACGACGATATCATCAGTTTTCCATGACTCGCCTCACTACCTCTCTGGGAATCCCGATGGTCAGGATTATGACGGTGGGTAGTGAATATATATGATTGAAAATGTGTCTTTGTTTTAGAGTGATCAGATGCTCTACTTCTAAATATTTCAAACTGATAAATTAGACACATGTGCAACTCTTGGGTATCTTTATTGAGGAAACGTTTCGCCACACAGAGGCTTCATCAGTCCATACAAGGAGTTGCACATGTGTCTAATTTATCAACGTGTCGGTTCTCAGAACCATTCATCTACAATCCTGTCAGACACAGCAACTTCTTGGGATCTTAATACTCGGAATTCTTCACTTGCCTAACACCCTTTTTGCATGGCCAACTTCCACATTGACAAATATACACCACGTATGACTGCTGCACCTCTTACCAAAGGTTTTTTAACTGCTTCTCTCCGCAGTTATGTGCCGTATACTATTCAATATTGATGGACTGACCACATCGACTCAAGGCTGAGGGACTGATTACCTCATTCTCCTCCTGTTCTTCAAGACTCTTCTTTGTATGGACTGATGAAGCCACTGTGTGGCGAAACGTTTCTTCCATAAAGATACTCAAGAGTTGCACATGTGTCTAATTTATCAACATGTCGGTTCTCTGAACCATTGATCTACAATATTTCAAATGTAACCATGATACATACTGGGATTGATCTATTTATATTTTCAAACATTTCAAATTGTATGAATAATGATAAAATATCTAAATAATGTTTAGTAATTAAAACATATTTTCAAAACTGTTTACATAAATCACTCAATTTTTAGATTTTAAGTTTTGTTTTTCTGTCTATGGTCCAATATTTTTTCGTGCAATAAGGCGTCTATGTAGTAACTTGATAATATTTATTAACTTCAAAAAACTTTCTTCATGTGTGCATTTTTCTGAGAGAAAAGTTTGTTATGTAATTAAGGAAATTAAATAGACCTGGAAGACAGTGTAGAAAATACTGTATATTTTCCAAAAGTACAGTGTATTTTATATGTAAATTGATGGCCTGTATTATAGGTAATAAAAAATAATTTGTAAATAAAGAACCAGCGATGGGTGAGCGTTGCTGAGGGGTCGCCAATGTTTTTGAATGTGGTAAAGACACGTTAGTGAAATGTGCATAAATTTTCGTCGCTCTAGGGGTTATATTGGGCTTAAAACCTCTCAAATAGGAGCCAAAATTGTTGGATTTGCAGTCCTGCATAACTTGAGCATTAGACGAATGAACAGGACAACTTTGGAACCCCAGCTAAGTCATGTCTATTTTGTGTTGAAATTCTGGCCAGTATTTTCTTCATATTTCAGGCAGGGGGTTTGTATGACACACCGTAATCTCCAGACTAATTGGTGGGTCTTATTATTATAAATTCTCCTTCAATGTATATGTATTCACATTTTAAATTTTATATACAGTCCACATATTTATATTAATGTTTTTACCAGAATTTCTGGTGATGTTTATTTCATTTGAAATTAATATAGGTCCAGAGTGACTTGTGGAGAGATAGATTATCGTAAGTATCGAAGGACGACATTTTTGCGACCTATGTGTCCTAAAATTCCTACTTGTCTCTGTAACCTTGATAAAGAACAATTATCTTTGTTACCATTTACTGTTATGTATCTTATGAGTTACATCCAAGCAAATTTAATTTTCCACAATAGTTGCCATTGGTCCTTGATCGAACTGGATGTAATTAGTGTAGTCATTAATTAGTGAATTATATACTTAATAATTATATGTGAAATGACAGAAGGGGGGTGGATGTTAGGTCCACAAATTTACTTAATGTGTAGTGGATTATAATTATTACAATACTAAATTTGCTAAGCCAAAGTCTTGCTTGGATTTATATTAGTGTATTTTTATAATATTAAGTTTGCTAAGCCAAGCTTGGCAAGGATTTATATTAGTGTATTTGTATAATATTAATTTTGCTAAGCCAAAGTCTGGCTAGGATTTATATTAGTGTATTTGTATAATATTAATTTTCCTAAGCCAAATCTGGCAAGGATAAACCATGTCTGGCTAAGATTTATATTAATGTGTATTTAAAATTTATATTATAGTTTCCTTACATGAGTAATTGCTAAGCTCAAGTGTAGCTAAGATTATTAATGTATATTTAAAGTTTATATTATAATTCCCTTACATGTAATTGCTAATCTCAAGTAGCTAGGATTTATTCAAGGTACGTTGTAATATTTACCTTTATAAAGTGCATAATTAAGTACATAATCAGTGTTACTAATTAAGTTGAATTTAATACATTGCACCATGGGTGAAAATGAGGAAATTAATGTAGATGGCAAACACATGGAATTTAGAGCAAAAAAATCATCATTGCAGGCTAGAAAGGGTCATGTAACAAAGGCATACAATAAATGTTTGGAATTAATGAATCAAGAAACTGTGAATATTGATGATTTAAAATTGTATTTAGATGCTTTAGAGAACAACGGGCAACTATTGTGGAAAATTAAATTTACCTGGATGTAACTCATAAGATACATAACAGTAAATGGTAACAAAGATAATTATTCTTTATCAAGGTTACAGAGACAAGTAGGAATTTTAAGACACCTAGGATGCAAAAATGTCCACCTTCAATACTTACGATAATCTATCTCTCCACAAGTCACTCTGGACCTATATTAATTTCAAACGAAATATACATGACCAGAAATTCTGGTAAAAACATTAATATAAATATGTGGACTGTATATAAAATTTAAAATGTGAATACATATACATTGAAGGAGAATTTATAATAATAAGACTCACCAATTAGTCTGGAGATTACGGTGTGTCATACAAACCCCCTGCCTGAAATATGAAGAAAATACTGGCCAGAATTTCAACCCAAAATAGACATAACTTAGCTGGGGTTCCAAAGTTGTCCTGTTCATTCGTCTAATGCTCAAGTTATGCAGGACTGCAAATCCAACAATTCTGGCTCCTATTTGAGAGGTTTTAAGCCCAATGTAACCCCTAGAGCGACGAAAATTTATGCACATTTCACTAACGTGTCTTTACCACATTCAAAAACAATGGCGACCCCCCAGCAACACTCACCCATCGCTGGTTCTTTATTTTCAAATTAGTTTTTATTACGTACAATATAGGCCATCAATTTACATATAAAATGCACTGTATTTTTGGAAAATATACAGTATTTTCTACAGACAGTTATAAAAGAAGATTTTTTTCTGTTTTGAAGAACATGAGTGTTCTTTGTGTAGTGCAGAAATAACCAGTGAACAGTGTTAAAGATATTTACCACATATTCCTAAATCATTACTATTGTTGTTGATTGCCTTAATTACTAATTAGGTTAGGTAAGGTTTGTCAGGAAACAGGACAAGTGTTTCCTGACGCGGGTCTTAGATGATGACTCGCCGTTGGAGCTTTTGGTCATCTGACCAAGGCCTTCAGCTGGCTTATGGTCAGTTATAACCATTTTTCAATTCTTAATTAATTCAGAAAGATTGTTAGAGTGGATTTCCAGATTTTTTATGAATTTATCTATTTATTAATCTTATTCCATATATCTATTTTATTAATCTCATTTTATTTATCTATTTTATTAATTTAATTATATATTTTTACATTATCAAGTTATACTGAATAATATATTAGATTACTGACCCATATGAAAAAACGCAAAAAAAAAAAAACCTCGTTTACCTCTCATTTTGTTATATTTACACAACTAGACAGAAGAGAAAGCAGAGCAAAAAATAGGCTAAAGGTATTTCCCAAAAGCATTAGCAAGAGAATAGAATAAATATGTTATATGGATTTTTATTTTTTCAAGCAAATATTCCCAAAACAAGTCAGGAAAGTTGCAATATTCGGGAATACTGTAATTCATTGTAAGAATCCTGTACATGATTAACACAAATACTTAATTTTTATGAATCAACTTTTTCCTGATGTAGAATTCAAGGTTTTCCTTTTAATTGGTGTTACTCTCTGGCTCATTAAAAACTCTACAATATTAAACCATACCACGGGTGGGGTTAGAACCCGCGATCAGAGAGTCACAAAAGTCCTGTCTGCAGTTTTGTGACTCTCTAATCGCGGGTTCTAACCCCACCCTTGATATATGGTTTGTTTGTGAGTCTACAATAATGCTATCGACTCTTGTGATCTTGGTAAGTGAATATAGAGTTCAACACATGAAGTGACCTCTCAGGTCACTTGTTCAGAAGCCCGTTGTTGTTCACAATTTACATAAGAACATAAGAACATAAGAAAGGAGGAACACTGCAGGAGGCCTGCTGGCCCATACTAGGCAGGTCCTTTACAATTCATCCCACTAACAAAACATTTACCCAACCCAATTTTCAATGCCACCCAAGAAATAAGCTCTGATGTGAAAGTCCCACTCAAATCCAACCCTTCCCACTCATGTACTTATCCAACCTAGATTTGAAACTACCCAAAGTCCTAGCCTCAATAACCCAACTAGGTAGACTGTTCCACTCATCAACTACCCTATTTCCAAACCAATACTTTCCTATGTCCTTTCTAAATCTAAACTTATCTAATTTAAATCCATTACTGCGGGTTCTCTCTTGGAGAGACATCCTCAAGACCTTATTAATATCCCCTTTATTAATACCTATCTTCCACTTATACACTTCGATCAGGTCTCCCCTCATTCTTCGTCTAAAAAGTGAATGTAACTTAAGAGTCTTCAATCTTTCTTCATAAGAAGATTTCTGTTTTGCTATGTATTAATTTTGTCATCCTACGCTGAAATGTTTTCTAAAAATTTATGTCCATTTTGTAATACGGAACCAGAAATGAGCTGCATAATCCAAGGTGAGGCCTTACTAATGATGTATAAAGCTGCAGATGACCTCTGGATTCTGTTGGCTTTTACACTTTCTTGAAAATAAATCCCCCAGTAATCAAATTTGCCTTATTACGTAACGCTTGGGCCCATTGCTTGTTTGGTTTAAGGTTGCTGTAAAACCATTAACCCCAAGTCTTTTTCGCAATCTGTTATGGCTAAGTTCTA